CTTTGTCTCGAGGTTTGTAAATTAATTAGGTCATCTTCTGGGAATTTCACAGACCTCTTGCCATGGTGCACCTCGCCACAGGACAATTCAAGAAAAAGGAAAAAATCTTGTTGAGGGAAGCCGTGCTTCCCTCAACAAGAATATAACAACACTCAAAAATAATAGTTATGAGTAAAATAAGAGGGTTAAGAATGGTGAAATCTAAATGAAATACGATAGAAAGGGAAATAATATAATGTGAGCGATATTGATTGATGATTGCTAATATAAAAACAGGAAGTTCCTGTTCGCACTGTATTGTATAAATGTGGTGTATGTCTAATTTGTGTGTGTGTGTATTTTACATGTTTGTTAATAAAAATCTTTTTAATTTTTTTTAAAAAAAGAAGATATCTGCTGGAGAAAAAAACTCGGCTGTGGCGAGAGGAAAGGCATCTGGCCAGTAAATATTCAGCTGCATTCAGTTTCCCCGATTCCACCCCCACAAGGGATTACAGGATCATTAAACAATGAAAAAAAACCCACAGCAAATGTGTTTCTCTTAAGATTATCTAAAGCAGGGATTCCTGATCTTGAGAACTTGCTGGTTGGCTGGGGAATTCTGGGAGTTGTAGTCCACTAGTCTTTAAGTTGCCAAGGTGGGACACCTATGATCTAAAATTAAACTTTGGTTTCTTTCTTTTTAAGAGGTGGCGTTCTCGCCTCACAATCAGGAGGCTGTGAGTTCAATCCTAGGTAGAGGCTTATTTTTCTGAGCACAATGAGAATATATCTGATGAATAAAACTCCACACTGGCGACAGGAAAGGCATCTGGCCAGTAAACACTCAGTTCCACTCAGTTGCTCTGACTCTACCCGGATACAAGGGATTATGAGGTCGTTAAATGAAAATGATGGCGGCCCAGAAACTAAAGAAAGTCAACCCAGAAATACAAGAGTTACAAGGACTTTGACAAAAACATGGCCACCAATAATTTAACAAAGACCCTGAATGAAATTATTCGTAGAACGTTGAATGGTCCCACAGAAAGTGGTTAATTGTTAATTGGCTCCTTCTTGGATCTCCTAATGGATCCTAATGGATCTCCAAGAATAACATCCAGAAGAATCCTTAGATAAGGTTTTACTCTAAAATCTTGCAAACCAAGTTTTATAGAGGGAAGAATTTTCACCCTCCCCTTGGAAGAAATTGCCCCAGTCAGGATGAACAAGGAGGACACAAAAATATAGGTAAACCTTGATTTATGACCCTTGATTTATGACCACAACTAAGCCCAAAACCTGTGTTGCAAAGTGAAACATTGGTTAAGTGAACTTTGCTCCATTGTACCAGCTTTCTTGCCACAGCTGTTAAGTGAATCACCGCAGTTCAGCGGTGGTTCCGGATCCCGTCACAACCGGTACGCTGCACACGGGGCCGGGCGTCCCAGTTGGGCACGTGCTCTATGCAGGCATGTGCATGCCACTGCCCTGCGACACTCAGCTGCCCACGCAGGTCGTGCAGGTGCCGCATGCTGTGTGCACATGCGCAATTGGCTGGTCATGTTATAAACAGCGGGTGGGCCAAACAAGCCATCGTACCGGTGTGGTGGCTGCTGCTCCCGGCTGCTATCGGTACGGCCGTACCGCCCGGAACCCACCACTGCGCCGCAGTTGTTAAGTCAGTAACACGGCGGCTAAGTGAACCTGGCTTCCTCCCTTGATTTTGCTTGTCAGAAGATCTGCCTAATGTATGACCGCCTGGGCAGGCGTGGCTAGGTGGTCATGTGACTGAGTGGCCGACTGGATGTCCCTCCCGGGGAAAGACTTACGTACGCAGATTGTCCCAGGGCGTTGAGCTTGGTGGGGTGGGCCGTCTTCCTCGAGGCAAAGAGGGCTGTCCGGATGACGTCCCCCTTCTCAACGGCGTCAAACAGCTTCTGGTCGAGCTTATTCCAGCTTTCGATCTGGAGGGCGAGAGAATGCAGAAGAGCAAAGTTAGAAGGGGCCTTCTCACATCGCGATGCAGGGTTAAGGAGAAACCGTGTTTTGTTACACACACACACACACACACACACACACCTGTAGAAGGTGTTCAAATAATGGGTACAAATTACACCTTGGTCGGATTTTAGGGGATTCACAGGCGGGCAAAATGATTTGTGTCCCTCTGCACCGACATTTCTTCTCAGCAGAGAAAGGGGATACAGGTAGCCCTTACGACCTACAACAGTTCATTTAGTGACCGACATTAGAACGGTACTGGAAAAATGTGGACCTGGGACTGTTTTTCACAGTTCTGACCATTGCAACACACACACACACACAAACACACACACACACACACACACACAACACACACAAGGCCATGTGGTCAAATTTGGATGCTGTCTCGTATTTATGATGGTATCAGTGACCCTGGGTCATGTTTTGTTTTGTTTTGTTTGTTTTGTTTTGTGAGGTCGCTTGCGCCCTCAGAGCTGGCTGGTTTTCTCACAGACATTTCACGACCCAATTAAGTAACGTCATCAGTGCACACCTCAGCCCACAGTTCATCCTTTAGGTACAAATATTTCTTCTATCTATTTTATTTTATTTTCTATTCTGTTTTTATTTATTTTGTTATTTATTTTAATATTTTATTCATTTTATTTTATTCTATTTTATTCCCTTTTGCTTCATTTCTTATTTTATTTTTAGTGCTTTATTATTCATTTTATTTTATCGTTTTGTCTTTTATTTTGTTTCATTATTATTATTTTATTCGTTTATTTAATTCTATATTTTATCTTATTCTATTTTATATATTTTATTTTATTATTTATTTATTTCAGTTTATATTTTATCTTATTCCATTTTATTCTATTTCGTTTCATTTCATTTTTTTATCTTTTGTTTTATTATTTATTGTTTCATTATTATTGTTTTATTCGTTTATTTGATTCTATATTTTCTTATTCTATTTTATTTATTTTATTTTATTATTTATTTATTTGTCTATATTTTATCTTATTCCATTTTATTCCATTTCGTTTCGTTTCATTTTTTTTAATTTTTTGTTTTATTATTTTATTTCATTATTTTTATTTTATTCGTTTATTTAATTCTATATTTCACCTTACTTTATTTTATTCTTTTGAATATTTTAATGTTATTATTTATTTTAACACTTATTTTATTTTAAGCCTACATTTTATCTTATTCCATTTTATTCTATTTCATTTCACTTTTCGATTCTGATTTTATTTTTTATTTTTATTTTTTATTACTATGTATTTCGTTCTCCTTTCATAACATTCATTTTCTTTTATTCTATTTCCTTTCCTTTCATTTTTTTTAAATTTTATTTTATTGTGATTATTTCTTTCATTTCGTTATTCTTTTGATGTTATTATTGTTTCTTTTATTATTTTAGGTTTAGGATTCCAGAGGAGCTGAGAAGTTGGGCTCAAATCCCAGCCTGTGGAGCCTTTTGAGGACTGAATAAGCCTTCGTTTTTCAGCCCCCAACTCAGCCTTGCCCAGGGACGCCCCCCTGCCAACCGCCCCCTTTGCCCCCTAGGCATCCTTGCCCTGATCCCCATCCCGCCTCTGGAGCCTCCTCGGTTGCGCCTTCCCTCCGCGCTGTTTTCTTTGGCAAACAGATCAGTTTCGGGGAAGTGAAGTGCCCGCCTGGGTCCTCCTGACAGAAGACACAATCCGGTTGTGAAGACACGGCATGGCAAACGCACACGCCCTGCTGTTGTCGGAGGGGAGATTGTGCAAGGCCACACACCCAGCCCGAATTACCGCTGAGGGAAGGGAAGAAGTTTGGGCGTCGGCGGAAGGCGTCGGCCCTCTCTCAGGTCATTCGGTTCCCAAGAGAGGGAATCTCCTCTTGTTCCTGGAGAATATTTCTCGGCTCACCGATTAGGCTTCTCTTCTTATATAGGGCCCTTTTGAGGTCATTTAGTCCAACCCCTGCTCAGTGCAGGAGCCGCTGCGGCATCCCTAATAGGTGACTGCCCAGCTTCCGTAATGGTGTGTTGTAGGAAAGAACTTGAGAGAGAAAGGACAAGACCCTGCCTAGGGAAGCATCAGGTATAGACGTTGGAAGGGGCCTTGGAGGTCTTCTAGTCCAGCCCCCTGCTCACGCAGGAGACCTTATACCAGAGTGTCCCCCAGTCTCTTCTTAAAAACTTCCAGTGTTGGAGCATTAACAACTTCTGGAGGAAAGTTGTTCCACTGATTAATTGTTCTCATTGTCAGGAAATTTCTTTTTAGTTCCAAGTTGCTTCTCTCCTTGATTAGTTTCCACCCATTGCTTCTTGTCTTTCAGGTGCTTTGCAGAATAGATTGACACACCCCCCCCCTTTCTATGGCAANCTAGATGACCTACAAAGTCCCTTCCAACACTGTTAATCCAATCTAATCTGACATCTATTTGTGTAGTTGCCAAAAGTCAACATTGACTTAATGGGCCGTCATCAGTCCATGGACTAAAGAAAGCTGAAAAATAAAGAAAAGGGAAGAAGAAGAAATAATCCCAGGTCCTCCTCCTCTCCTTCCATCAAGCCAGTTATTTATGGTGTTTGCAGAGATTTCATTCTGTGTTGTTGTTCGGGGCCCATTGAAAACAAACACACAACACTCGGCTCTTCCATCAATCCCGCTAAATCTACTCATCCTGCTTTTTAGCAGCACACAATGACCTTTCTCGGCTGTCTCAATAATGCTAGCCTTACAACATCCCGTTAACTGGTACAGATTGCTCATCCTGTCCCTGTGGCGGGTGGCCTAAGATTAATAGCACGCAGAGAACTAGCTGCTTGTGCTCAATTCATCACCTGTCATAACTGCTCGGTGGTTAAATTATTACAGATTTCGGAGGATGGCAGGACCGCGTGTTTTGACAAGGAAGCAAAGGCCACGCGTGTTCTTCCGGTGAGTCTCAGCCCCTTAACTGCACCCTTGGTTCTACTATACTGTGCAGCGAGGGTGTATTCATATGTTACCGGCTCTACATCATTCTTATAATTGGATTGATTTGAGCTGGTTTTCTGATTGGTTTGGATTCAGAAGGTTGAGAGCGGTTCGATTAAACCAGTAGCTCCGACAATCAGCCGAGAGCAAACCGGTTCACCCTGATGATCATATTGGCATGTCCGCCCTTGCATTTTACTTACCTATATCATCTCCGCTAATTAGTGCGGCAGAGTGGATTGCACCACCTTGGCTGTGTTACTCCCCAAGGAGGAACCTGGTAAAACTATGCATGCGTGTCAGGGCTGAAATCCAGCAGGTCCTGACAGGTTCTGGAGAACCGGTAGCGGAAATTTTGAGTAGTTCAGAGAACCAGAAAACCAGAAAACGCCACTTCTGGAATGGGGATTTTGCAGTATCGTTCCCCTGGAGTGGGGTGGGAATGGAGATTTTGCAGTATCCTTCCCCCGGAGTGAGGTGGNGATAGATAGATAGATAGATAGATAGATATAGATATAGATATAGATATAGATATAGATATAGATATAGATATAGATATAGATATAGATATAGATAGTTTATATATATTTATAATATATATAAAAACTGGGCTCCAAAAATCTGGAATACCATTTGTTGAAAACAAATAGATACAGAAAATGTTAATTGTCTATTTTCATCTAGATAAATATTCCCTTTCCAAGAAGCAAAGTTTATGATACATATATAAATCTTCAGGATTAAATATTAAGCAGTTTATCCCCTTTACCAAATAAAAAGAAAAGATTAAAAACTATAAAGCAAGCTTGCAATCACACTCATTATCTTTAGTAGAACTGCACAGGCTAACCCTAACTAAAAAAATGTAATGTTCAAATAAATATTCTGTTTCTGAAGAAATACTGAATCACATTTTAACCTTTCTTTGTAATGATCGTATGTAGCATATTATTTTGTTAACAGTACAGTAATAATTATTTTTAATGAATTTAAAGTAATCAATTTAATATTAATCATTAGCATTCTAAAAAGAACTAATCCATTTATCCATTAGTCCATTTATATAAAATAATCATGCAAGCTATATTTCATGCACTGTAACAGATGAGAAATTTGGAAGTAACTGCCACTGTATTTACAAATGACATGAAAAACTTCCAAGAATAATGTTATTTAGTCAACATTAATTTACTTACCCAAGTTCAAGTTGTTGACATATCACTGAAGCATCAGTATTATCCCAGTGGTCACTGCAGATTGTTCCCCATATTCCATTTAGATATATTTCAACTGTTCCTTCAAACTCATTTCTGCCACCTTTAAGTCTTACTGATCCTGTTTATTTTTGTCAAAAAAGATAAATTTATTTCAGACATTATATAATTTTAATTATATTTATATTTTATATTTAATTACTATATTAAAAACAATGAAGAAAAAAGTATGACACATTTTCCATTAGAAAGTAATAGTTTCTGTGTGGCATTTATTTTTGGAGTGATCTGGAAGAGGCATGTATATAAACAATATAAGCCATTCCCTTGCCCTAGAATGGTTTTTGTCACTTTTTGAAATGGTCAAACTAGGTTTCTTTTCTGGTCCAGTAGTTTGTCATTAGAACTCCTTGAGCATCAAAGGTCAATCAGTTAAGTTCATCAAGATTCTTCTAGTCCAGGGGTGTCAAAGTGGCGGCCCATGGGCTGGATACGTCACGCACAGGCCACACACAGACCATGCCCCCCTGCTCCACAAAGGTAAAAGAAATGTTGCAATAAGTCACATGACGTGGCACGATCAAATTTGACACATGTGTTCTAGTCCATTTCAAAAAAGCACTTTTATCATTTCCTTGTCAGGGTATTGGAGTGATACAATCACTTAAGGTATGTTTTATAATCAATCTATCCAATAGAAATATTTTAATACAACTGGAGTTAATGTGTTCACTATGGACAGATTTTTTTCCCCAAATTTGGAGAGCAGTAACAAAATTAGTACCACATCAT